CCTCCCCCCTCCCTCCTCCCTCCTCCCTCCTCTTTCCTCGCTCCTCCCTCATCCCTCATCCTTCCTCCCTCCTCTCTCCTCCCTCCCCTACCTCCTCCTCCTCCTCCTCCTCCTCCTCCTCCTCCTCCTCCTCCTCCTCCTCCTCACACTGCTCACGTCCCCACCTCGCTCGCCGCCGAATGGAGAAAGCACAGGCGTCCGCCTTGCTGCGCGCGACCTCGGCGAGAGTGCCGCGGCGCGCCCGGAACTTCCCAGCCATGCGCCGCATGCACCCGCGGGACCTGGCGCGCCGGGTGCCACCCCGTGCACTCTGCACCGCTCCCGGGCGCGGGCCCCATCCTGGGCCCACAGGAGGAGGAGGAGGAAGAGGAGGAGGACGAAGAGGAGGAGGAGGAGGAGGAGGACCAGTGTAAACCCAAGAATCATCAACGATATCAAAACTAACCCTCGTTTCAAGCTCCCTCTTCATAGGCCCACACAACGGTTCATTTCCATTGAGGGAACTGCCCCGTCGGACGACAACAATTTGAAGACCCCGAAACATACCAAAACATCGTTTTCGGGATGTCAACGCCACGGATCAACCTAGCTGTTGCGTATTAGCGATCCCGAAGAGTGACAGGACGCCGTTTGGAGGACTTCAACACCGCGGAACAACATAACGGTTGCACCCGCGAATCCTTCCAAAACACCTTTTTTTTCTGGTACGCTGATCACTGGAACGCGTGAAATCTTGCAAATCGTTAAAACGAATGCGCGCGGCGCTAGGAAGCGGGAGCCACATGTTGAAAAGGAACCGCCCTTAATCCGTGAAGCTCTTGCAAGCGTTTGAAAAGAATGCGCGCGGCGCTAGAGCGAAGAACCACAGCTTGAACAGGAACCGCCCTCAATCCGCGAAACCCTTGCAAATGTTTAAAACAAACGCGCGCGGCGCTAAAGCGAGAGCAACATTTTAAAAACCACCAGCGCTCAAGCCGCGAAATTCTTGCAAACGTTTAAAAACAACGCGCGAGGCGCTAATGCGAAAGCCACATTTTGAAAAACCACATGCCCTCCACCTGCGAAGCTGCTGCCACTTTTTAAGCTCCAGGGACATAAATGGCGAGGACGTCTCAGGCGAAACGCCCGGCCCGCCCTAAAAACTGACCTCGGGCTGGGAGAAATCACTCGCAAGGGAAAGGCACGGAGGAGGGGGAGGGGGAAGAAGAAGAGGAGGAGGAGCAGGAGGAGGAGGAGGAGGAGGAGGAGGGAGGAGGAGGAGGAGGAGGGGGAGGAGGGGGGGGGGAGGAGGAGGAGGAGGAGGAGGAGGAGGAGGAGGAGGAGGAGGAGGAGGAAGAAGTGGAGGAGGAGGAGGAGGGGGAGGAGGAGCCGGAGGAGGAGGGGAGGAGGAGGAGGGGGATAGGATAGGATAGAATAGGACCGTGGGGCGCCGATCCGCGACAACTCTACTGACTGCAAACTACAATCTGAAAGAGCACGCCGCAGACAAAGGCGGCGCCTGGGTTCTCCGTGCGGAGGGCTATCTTGACACGCCGCCGCGCGCTGATCGGCGCCCGACTGGGGCCGACACTGGCCTGGCGACGGGCCCAGCAGGCGCGCAGCCTTGAGGCTGCCGCCATCGGCACCGCCCCCAGCTACCTGTCTGGACGGTGCCGCCCCTTTCCCTTGCCCGGCGGGCGAGGGCGAGGGAGCGCGATGGCTGGCCCCACTTCGGGGGCCGAAGGAAAGTAGACAGGAGATGGGTGAACAGCAGCAGCAGGCGAGGAGGGCGGAGGCTCAAGGCCAGGAGGGGCAGGAATCGCAGCAGGAAGAAGAGTGAGGGGGGTGGACGTCTCAGCCAGTCCCGAGACCTGCTGCGCTGCCGATTCACTCAGCAACCCTCGGTTCAGGAGCCTCTGAGCGCGGCGACTGGACCTACAATCAGGGCCCACCCCCAAGGAAACAAAATTGCTGCTAGCACGAGAACCCTGCTCGACACTATCACTTGAACGAGCCTCCAGGTCAGGTGCAAGTCTGGCGGGCCTAGTGGGAGAGAGCCCGCGAAGACCTCTGGCGACCCCCATTCCGGAAGCAACTCTAAGTAGCACCTGACCTGGAGTTTCTACAACAGGGGCCCTCACAACCTCACAAGATCCTGAAGCCGCTGCCGTCACTACTACTTCACAAGATCCAGAAGCCTCTGAGCCTCCCTCACAAGAACGCCTCGGGGAGCCCCTCCGATCGTTTTCTCTGCGCCCTGCTCCACCAGCGCCTCGCGGATGGCCTTGAGGAGGACCACCCCGTCGTTCGTCGTCGTGCCCAGCAGGAACTGGATCTTCACCTGCTCGCCCTGCTTGGCGCTCTTGGTCTTGAGCCTCTGGACGCGGCAGCAGCGCACCATCTCGTGGAGCTCGTTCGGCGAGGCGGCCTTCATCACCTTCTGGTCCCAGTAGGTCTTCAGCACCTGGCGGCCAGCCTTCAGCGCGCCCCCCTCGCAGGCCTCGCCCTTGCCCAGGAGTCCGTCGATCAGCCCCACGAAGGTCCGAAGGAAGGGGGCGCGCATCTTGGGCAACTCGAGCTGCTCACCCTTCTTCGCGGCCTCCACCAGCTTCTGGCGCCGCCCCCCCGCCTCGGCGTTGAAGCCGGCCCCCCCTCGAGCGCACGCTGGGCCACGGCGGCGTCGAGCGGCGTGAGGAATGCGTCGCACACCGCGCCCAGCATCGCCCTCAACTGCGCCTCGTCCGTCAGCGCCAGCTTGGCCAAGACCACCACGAGCTCCTCTAGCGCCTGCTTCTTGTTGGCGCCCTTGGCGCCGCCGACCGCCACGACCTGCTGCGAGCCGACTCCGCGGTCTTCGCCGCCTCGCCTGGGCCCCTTGCGAGCGGGGCCTCCGCCCCTGCGCCTGCCCATCCACGCGGGGCGCGCCTGAGACTCTGGCATCAGCTTCGAGTAGCTGCTCGTCAAGATATCTGCGCTGCTTTCGGTCGTACACCCTCAGCACTTGAGGTAAATGACTACAGACATGTTGTTGGTAATCGGGGAGTTCAGAGGCATGGTAACCCGCATATCTTGCATAAGAGGTCATCGGGCTCCTGTAGTGGCTCCTGTGGGTGACCCCCGCCAGCGCAGCAGCACCCTCGGACCATAGACCCCACCAGATGTCGAGCCGCAGTCACACGGCAGGAAAACAACCCCAAACAACTCGGACACTGATTGGTAACACATAAGACATGGCCCAAAGAACGTAGGTGGCGATGAAATCGCAGATGATTGAGGGCCGACTTCTTATCACAAAACCTGGCGTTGCACCTACATCTTCTCCCCAACGTCATACCGCCCTCGCCCTCCTCCTCCTTGAAAACTCCACATATCCATCTGACCACGACCCCTTCCACCACCTCCTGCTCGAGAACCTGATCCAAGGGGGACTCGTACTCAGGGGGCGGGAAAGCTACTGTGTGTTGTTTGCGTCGTAACTGGGCAACGTCGATCTTGTAAAAGCCCCTCCCAAGATTCATATCCCAGAAGAGAGCGAGGAAAGACCCCTGAAGTCGTGTTAGTAATGTTTCTTCTTCTTCTAGAGACGAAAGCGATTCCAGGTCAGCGTAAAATGTCCTGGCCCACGGGTTAGCATATGCCGTCAAGCGCCCCGTGCAATCAAATTGAGGCCGCTCGTCCGTGGGCAAGGTACCGAACCTCGCAGCCAAGATCTGCAAGTTCATGCGAGGAAACTGAACAAATTGGGCAAGCCATCCAAGCCTGCGATTCCTGAGCTCGGTGAAAGTTGGGACCATGCGCCAGTGCTCGAGCACCTTCGCATGCGACAAGGTCTGCGCGTGCCGCTCGCCTTCAAAGCTGGCACCATGCATTGCAACGCGACAATACCGAACGATAGCCGAGTCGAGCTTATTGCACTGGCTCTCCGCGACGAGAAAGGCTTCTAAATTAGATATCCCAAGCGCTCTGGACCCCCAGTAGACAAGACCTTGTAAGCCGATGAGGTACCCCAGGAGTAGACCAGAACCTGCCCAAGGAATGAAAGGCCGACTTTATTGCTACTATTCTCTTTTTGATCTCGGGCGCCAGTGCTCCAGAGCTGTGAATCTGTGCTCCTAGAACTCGCATGGCGGGACGAACTCCGCCAGCAAAAAAAAAGAGCGTCCCCATCATTTCGCAGACGTCGGTTGGCATCCACGGACCCCTTCCCCGTCAGACTAATGATGGCGTTCTGCTTCATAACATTATGTTCCCATCCCCCCGTAGATAAGTGCTCATCTAGTCGTGCGTTGGAAAACTCGTTTATGCTGCTAAGTTCTGCCAACCCTGCGCATTGCAAAGGAGAGTCGGGGCCACCTCCAACATGCAACTTGGCCAGGTCGTCAGCATACTTAGTGAGACTCAAGTCCATGTGCTGATGCGTGACTGGGCATTCAGCTGCAAGCAGACTCTTCGAGTCAACACAGTCCAAGAGTTGTTCGCTCCAGCAGCCCACTGGAGCAGCATAAGCACGGCCAAAACTTTCTACTGCGTATGGGTCGCCCATAAGAGCCCCGCACTTGGGCTTCACGAGAAGCCTCTTGTCCGACGCTGGCAACAGAATAGTAGCTGATCGTACTCTATCAAGCCCAAAACGTTGATCCTCGGGCTCAAGTAAGAGAGAATTGGCAAGCTCGAGCGCGCCCCAGCTGGCGGACGCGAAAGCGTTGCTGAGGTCCTTGTTGAACCAGCTGGCGGAATAACCTGAAACACGAAGCCTGCGTAGCATACACTGAATAACCAACATGGCCCCTTCATTTCGTCGGCCTCTTGAAAAACCGCAATCCGAAGGTCCCAGGGGAAGCGGTCGCTTTCGGGCAATAGCAGCGGCAAGTCAAGCTGTCCCAAAGGGTCGAGAAGGTGAATAACGCGCTTTCCCTTGGGCCCTGGCAACGACGATTTTGGAAGCCCACATCCGAAACTTCTGTTCCAGAGCCGTGGAAAACGCCCAGCGAAAAGAACACACTGGAGGCCCTTATGCAGAGCCACATACAAAACAGCGGAGTCCAATTATTTGTCCGCTCCAAGCCCTAGTCGATCTGGCGCCAGCCCAAATTCCGGATCGATGACAATCCCCCACAGTTCACCTGGAAGAGACCATGGCGGGCATGAACGTCTCTTGGGGGCCCTACGAAGATAACTACCAACACCTGTCATATCTGTCATAGCCTCTACGCTGAAGGCGCCATAATAACCACTCTGGCCCACCTCCTCGCACTCCTCGTCCTCTGCGATCTCCTCCACCCCCGCCCCCCCTCTCGGTCCTTCCAGGGCCCAAGCACTCAACCACTCATCAGAAGTTAACGCGGCACCCTGCATGTGACGATAGCTCCTACCGCGAAGGCCTCTCCCACGAGATGCCAGTAAGCGAATGAGGCGATGTGCCCCCTTATGATTCCGTACCCGCCACGCCTCCTCCAGCTCCGATACCACCTCCTCCCTCCATTCCAAATAATGCTTCCTGCGCAGCTTTGCGCAGGCTCTACTGCTAGCTCTCAATGCTTGCTTCATGGTCTCCTCCTCCTCCGTGCTGGCATCTTGTAGGGGCGACCGAAGACGGAGCCGCTCATGCAGCAGTGCGATTCTCCCATCAGGCTGCCGTCGATACTCGGGAGAAGCCGCATAGAGAGTGCCACCAAACGACTGCTTTGCTGCACCTCGAAGTGCCTCGTTCAAACAGTTGAAATAGGCGTCAGGCAGGCCAGCCTTCAAGAAGCCCTCGAGCTCGACCTCTTTGCTGCCAATAGCCTCACCTGCGCGAGAAATAAATGCACGACGGGCCTCTCGAGACCTCATGGCCTCAAAATTCCAAGAAATCCGAGTCTGCTGCTGCAGGTTGGGCTCGGCGTGCCCCCACCGAAAGTTGCAGCGAACAGGTATGTGATCCCGGGGGCGCTTTGAAGGAATGAGTTGGCGCTTTCGCACGAGGCCCCGCAAGGGGCCACCAGACTGAACCAGGCCCAACGCAGCAGCAGGGCCAAATATATAACCAACACGACTAGCAACTCCATCTTTGCCGTACCACGTCGGCTCAATAACACTGCGCAAGCCAAGCAATACCATCCCGTTCTCCTCCATCACCTCCCGTACTAACTGTCCAGCACCCCCCTCCAGGTTCTCCCGAGTCGCTAAATCTTCCGCGACGACCGACGTGTCATTATAAATCCACCGATCGCGTTCCCGAGAGAGCCCAATCCCATCAATCAAATCCATACAAAAAATAAGTAGCACGCGAGCCCGAGTATTCAAATCAGCAAAAACTTTACGAAGCCACGTTGCCAATCGAGAAACCGTGGCGAAGTAATTCGGCCGACCTTGCACCCCTCGCGGCCGAGGTGGAAAGTAAAGCCCGAACACCGCAATGTCCATCCCCCTCCTCTTAAGATGTACCCCGAGCCCCCGCCCAGCTAAATCTGCGTCGACATGCCACTGCCTGACTACGTGAGATTCACGAAAACCTCTGCTCAAGCACATCGTGATACCCGCAGACTTGTCGGGGTACTTTCCTCGAGACCATCCTGCACGAAGCAACGTAGAGCCCGCCAACCAACTTACGTTTTTCTAACACTGCGCCGCGTGCTGCTCGAATCTACGCGCCAACCAAAACGCACACGTGGAAGCTGGAGCCAGACAACTTCACAAACTCCTCCCGGCGGTCAGCCGATGCGAAAGACAAACGATTCCAGCGCAGGATACTCAGCATGACATGGAGCGGTCACGCGTCGGCTGTGTCTTGGCCGATCTGCCCGTGACTTCTGCAGATACGGTTAAGCAAAATGTGCAATGCTGCGTTACATATGGAAAGGTGGCCTCGCTGCAGAGGGACCTTGCGCCACCTTGGAGGAGGGGGAGGGGAGGGGGAGGAGGGGGAGGAGGAGGAGGAGGAGGAGGAGGCGGAGGAGGAGAAGGGGGAGGAGGGGCAGGAGGAGGACTAAGTGGGCCAAGTGCAAAGCGACCGAGGAGTCGCGCGGAAGAAAGACAGGCCACAGGCCTAATCGGAGGAGCCCGAGGGAGAGGGCGGCGCGGGCGGGTCCCGACCCAGGGCAGTCCTGGGCGCTGTAGCCGCTGCCGTCGTGGCCGAGGTCGGGCGCGCCGCGCGCAGGCGCACGCGCACCGCACGCAACACACGCGCGCCCTCAGCCGACGCGGACGACGACGACGGGCCCCTCGCCTCGACACCATCATCCTTCTCCCCCTCTCCAGCCTACACGGCCTCCTCCTCCTCCTCGTCATCAAAAAATTCACCCCTCGCGCTCCTTCCGGCGCGGGTGGGGGGGGGGGGGGGGGGGGTGGGGGGGGGGGGGGGGAAGGGGGGGGGCGACCCAGAGGCCCCTCCATCACCCGCACGCGGGGACCCAGCCTGGGACAACACATCGACTCTGGGGAAAGCGCGGGCACGGGCCTCTTGAGCAGCGTCCAACTGCGCCGCTTCCGCGATAGCCTTCGAAGGGACATCGTGGGACGGACGCAGACCCCTGGCAATGCGGGCAACCCCACCCCCCCCCCCCCCCCCCCCTTTAGCGCCGCATTCTTCCAGCAGGAAAACAAAACGAAACGCGGCGTTCGAGCCGCAACGTGCACAAAAGAAACCCGCCAGCGCGGGAGCTCCACCGATCTGCGAGACCCCTGGGCCTCAAGGCCGCGCAGCTCCCGACCCCGAGCCTCTACCGCCACCGCATCCCCGAACCGACGCGGAGCCCCCCCTCCCAAGGCGCGGGCAGCAACAAGGGGCGGGCCAGGGCAGATGGTGAAGGCCGTCTCGTCCAGACGGCAATCGTCGACAAGCTGCGCACAGGTGGCGCAACGCCACTCGTCCTCACACCGCTCAAACTTGCGGGCGGAGGCCTTGAGACACAACGCGCGGGCGGACAGGGGGGCCCGACGAGCAACCCCGACTCTCTCCCAGCGAAGAACCTTCTCGGAGCCAATACTCTTGATAATGGCCCTCGCTCTGGCACGGAAAAGGGCTGCCGTCGCATCCCACAGATCTGCGCGTGAGACTGGTCCCTAAGCAGCTGTCCAATTATTCGCGGCCCCTCGGCCTGCCCATGCATCTGCAACAATATTACCACAAGCGAAGATTGGGTCGGTGATGGCCTCTGGCGTCTCATCCTGATGCGACGGGGTCAACGCCAAGGTCGCGTCGCGCCCAGGGTCAAGCTCCAAGGCCCTGCGCATACGAGACCAGGGACCCCAGTTCCTGAGCCGCCGAGCCCAAGCTCCAGGAAGCCTCCGAGCCCAACACTGCCCCCATCCATTGAGGAGAGGCTTACGGTCGGTGATAAACGTCAGAGACCCCGAGCCTTCTTCAACCGCAATACAGAACGCGAGCAACTCAGCACGTGGGACGGTATGCCGCCTGCCCTCCAAGGGGCCGAAAAGGCCTGAGTGGCCTTGCCACAGGCCCGCGCCGCCGGGGGAAATCGCCGCAACCGACCAGCCAAATCGAAGCCTCCGAGGGTCGTCTGAAAAGGCCCATCCAGAGCCATCCCCAAACAAATGGAGGCGCACATGGGGGTCTCAGCAAGCTTCCCACGAAGGCCTCCCTTCGTCGCCAGGACCCACCACCCCCACCCCACCCCCGCCCCACGGAGAGGAGGGAGTAGTGGAGGAGAGGCTGGGGGCACCTCCACGCCAAAGAGCTGGGTCCTGTTCCAGGCCCGCGAGCGCCTGGGGTACTAAGCCATCACCAGCAGCGACCTCAGGGCCCTCATTAGCAGAGCACTTCCAAAGCCTGTGTGGGAGGTCCTCAATGGCCCCAGAGCTACACCGATCACAGAGACGGCACACTTTATACCCAGTATAATGGAGGCGCTCACGAGTCCAGTAGCCCTCAGAGACAACACAGATATTCCATGCCGATGACGATATTTTCCCACTCGCCAAGAACCTCCGCTGCTGGATCCTGATGGTGACCAGGTCCGCTCCAGAAGCGAGAGAGGCGCCGTGCTCGTGCGCCGCCGCCGTCGCCCAGAGCCTGCGCTGGAGGTCGTCGAGGAAATCGCCGAGGACGGATTCGTGGTCAAGGTCGACTAGCTCAGCTCCATCGTCTGGGAACCTCCATTTCTCCAGACATTCATCATGCACTCGTTGCCAACAGTCAGCCGCCTTGGGATCCCAGCCAGCCTCGAGTAACGTCGCAATCGCAGCTCCCGTCGGTCCAGTAACATATGACCAGATCTTTGGGCCAGCGCGTGCCAGCTTGGTCTTGAAAACTGTCCACGTTCTGCGAATACGCTGGTGCAAGTGTGGCTGATCCTGCCAGAAGCGAATCCACTGGCGAAGTAGCTGCACTCGTAGCAAGACTCCAGGGTCAGCCCCGTCGAAGGTGACCCCCAACAGGGTCGTGAGGCAGCGCCCAGCTGCCTGTCCAGTTGAAGCCGCTGCCGCCCGTCTGCGCCATCGTAGCAAGGCATGTCGGACGAGTCCACGAACTTAGGTCGCCATAGACTCCCTGGGGTAAGGATCCAGTGGCCCACGGAGCCTTGGCAATACGAGCTTGCTGAGCCGTGCTCCTCATGCGCACGATCTTCCTGGTCCTGGTGGAGGCCGCTCGCGAGCGCTCCCCCGCCTTCTTCTGAACTCTGCGTGTGCCCGCCGCCATGTCGATGCTAAGGTCCGTTGCCGTAGTAGTCGCCGAGACTAGGACACCTCGTCGTCGAAGGCCCCGCTCTAGCCGCTCTCTTACTTGCTTATTGTTCGATAGCACCACCGTCTTGTCAGAGACTGGGAGCTCAACATGATGAAGTGCTGACTTCAACTCGACCCCAGCCTTTGTCAGTTGCTGCAACACTGCTCGAGCCGTGCCTTCTGACCTCGCCACCGTATCGTCCACGAAGGTCCACATGGTTGCTCCCTCAGCCAGACGTGGAGCGTGCGTGAGGGTTGGAAGCAGAAACAGACGCGCCAAAACAAAGGGGCAGGAGGAGGAGGAAGAGAAGGAGAAAGAGGAGGAGGAGGACGAGGACGACGACCTACCAAACCACCCCAACCTAAACCGAAGACCCAAATTTCGGGCTGCCGTCAGCCCGTATCAGAAGGATGCGCAGTAAGGATACAAGGGCCCGGGAGACCCACGTGCACGTTCTTCGAACGGGACGGGCCAGCAAACGCTGCCAGGCATGGGCCGAAGGGGGCCAGGGTGCAAGGGCACCCTTGGGAGAGTTGCTCCTCCTTCCTGTGCGGGCTGACTGTCGGCGGTGGACAAACCTCCCTTTAGTAGACCTCCCCTTAGTGAAAACGACCTGGGGCCGAAACCGACGGACCTGGACCCGCCAAAATGACCGCCGCGACGCCCTCTCGCGAACCGAAAACGGCCAATTCCTTACTCGACGTGTCCATCCCCGAGACCGTCCATCCCCGGGTAGGAGGTCTGTCCATCCCCGAGACCGTACTCTGCGTGCTCGACCACGGGCCCCTCGTCACCCACTGCTCCTGGGCCCCCTTCGGCGGGCTGCGGCGGTCTGCGGGCGGCCTGCGGGCGGCCTTCGGCGGTCCTTGTGGCGGTGGTTTGGGCGGTATCTTCAGCGGCATCTCCAGCGGTCTCTGGCGGCTCCCAGCGGCCTTCGGCGCGAAAGCTGGACGGCTGCGATCAACGAGGGATCCATGATCGAACACCTGAGGTAATACACGCGCGCCCTCCCGGCCTCGGCGCGGAGGGGCACGTGCTGAAGACGAAGCCAGGGCAACGATTCCATCGGGTGAGAATACGTCGAGAATCTCTAAGTGGCAGCTCTGGAGGGTGTATCGGGCCTCGGGCGTCGCGGCCTTCTCTGAGCGCTCCAGAGCGCTTTGAGAGCGTTCCGGAAGCTCTGTAACAAATATCTCCTCGTCCTAGCTGCGCCCGACATGCTGCCGAGCCTGGGCCCGGTATCGTAGAAGAAGAAGAAGAAGAAGAAAACGAAAGAAACAAAAACCGCATAAGCATGAGCTTTTGGCGCTCCGCGCGGAACTTTTGAACTGCGCTGGAGCCCCCTCCCCTGGCACGAAGCGCGCCAGGGACGGCCCCCCCCGCCGCGGATCCAAGGACAAGAGCTCCGCGCTGAGAGCGCCAAAAGCTCATGCCCATGCCGTGTTTTCCCCCATCGATGCTGGCCCGGGGCCGGGATCGGCGCAGAGTTCGGGAGAGGCCAAGAGGGGGGTGTCCAAGAGGGGGGGGGGGTGCAAATCATGACCGGCGGCATGCGCGCGCCCCAGCGGGGGGGCCAGGGACGTCATGAAATCAGAAGCGGCGCCATGGAATCCGGGGAAATATCGTGGCCCCCGCCATGAGATCCGCCCCCCGCTAGTACTCACCCCCCTCTTTTCCGCCCCCGAGATTTTTCCCCACCGATGCTGGCCCGGGGCCGGGCCGCGGCGCAGAGTGGGGGGGGCCGGTGCCCCTCCGACCCGGGGAGGGCTCCCCGCGCGCTGCCGCGGCTGGAGCAGCTGCTGCCGCTGCTGCTGCTGCTGCTGCTGCTGCTGCTCGTCGCGGTGAAGGCGCGCGCGCCCCCGGGCGCGCCGCGGCGCTCCGCGCCCTCGCCGCGGCGGCGGCCGGCGTCGGCCTCGCCGCGAGGGCGGAGGGCTCCGGCGGCGGCCGTCGGGCTCGCGTCGTCGGAGGGGGCGCCGCGGCGGCCCGGGGGCGGGGCGGCGCGGGGTCCGCGCAGCAGGGGGCCGCCTGGCGGGGTGGGTCGGCGAGGGCCGTGGAACATCCACCGCCGTCCAGGCCCAGGCCCAGGCCCAGGCCGCGGCGCGGAGAGGCTGCGACGGGTGGTCTTGCCGTTTCGTTTTCTCCGGGTGGGCTTGCCTTAGGGGAGTCATTGCTCAGTGGCATCGAGAAGTGGTCCGCTGGTCTCCCCCCGATGTTGCCCCTACATGCGTCTTCTTCTGCGCATGGCTTCCTCTGTCGCCCATGGCGTCCTCTGCTCTCCTCTGTTGCGCATGGCCCCCTCTGCTATACGAACGGCTTCCTCTGTATCAGCACAGCTTCGTCTGCTATCCGCATGGCTTCCTCTGTATCCGCATGGCTTCCTCTGCTAGTGCAGTGGCCTCCTGTGGCTGTTCTCATGGCGTCCCAACAATCGCCCAACAATCGTCAAAAACTGTTCGCATGTCTTCCTCTGTATGCGCGCGGCTTCCTCTCATATGCGTATGGCTTCATCTGTATCCAAATGGCTTCATATGCTATCCGTATGGCTCTCTACGGCCTTTCCAATGGCGCCCCAACAATCGCCCAACAATCGCCGAATTCAGAAGTAGAATGGAGCAGAGCAGAGTAGAGCAGAGCATTATATGATATAGTGGAGAAGAGTAGGTGAGTAGAGTAGAACATTATATAGTACAGCAGAGCAGAGTAGAGTGGGGGAGAGAAGAGTAAAGCAAGAGTAGGAGTAGAGTAGAGTAGAGTAGAGTAGAGCATTGTAGGGTAGGCAGAGAAGGGTAGGGTAGGGCAGAATATATCAAAGTAAGATATATGGTAGAGCAGTCGGGTAGATTTACATAGAATAGAGAATACCAGTGGAGGATAGTGCGAATGTAGTAGAGCAGGGCAGCTTAGGAGTAGGAGTAGGAATAGGAATCGAATTAGCTAGTTCGAGCGAGTCAGAGGGACCCACATACTCCATCCTCCCTCCGGCAACACAAGAATCAGCTGCGGCACAACTTCGTACCTCCCAGCCCTCCAGGCAGGCCCCGCCTGAGCGAGGAGGGTATCCCAAAACCATTATGTACAAGGTTTGGTGCCCCTCCCACCTCTCCAGGGAGGCCCCGCCTGAGCGAGGAGGGCATCCCAAAACCATACCACTTACAAGGTTTCGAGCCCCTCCCACCTCTCCAGGGAGGCCCCGCCCGACCGAGGAGGGCATCCCAAAACCATGATAGTTACCACGTTTCGTGCCCCCTTTCCAGCCCTCTAGGCAGGCCCCGCTCGAGCGAAGAGGGTATCCCAAAACCATATAATTTACAAGGTTTCGTGCCCCTCCCACCCCTCTAAACAGGCCCCGCCTGAGCGAGGAGGGTATCCCAAAACCATACTATGTACAACGTTTCGTGTCCCTCCACCCCTCTAAACAGGCCCCGCCTGAGCGAGGAGGGCATCTCAAAACCATACTATTTATAAGGTTTCATGCACTTCCCAGCCATCCAGGGAGGCCCCGCTCGAGCGAGGAGGATACCCCAAAACCATATGATTTTCCAGGTTTCGTGCCCCTCCCACCCCTCCAGAGAGGCCCCGCCTGAGCGAGGAGGGTATCCCAAAACTATACGATTTACCAGATTTCGTGCCCCTCCCACCCCTCTAGGGAGGCCCCGCCTGAGCGAGGAGGGCATCCCAGAACCATATCCTCTTGCACAAGGTGTCTAGAGCTCCGACCATTTTATTCCGCGTCGCACACACACACACACACACACACACACACACACACATCCCCCCGCGTCCCCAGCGCCAGAGTGGGACCCCCCGCCGTGGTTCTCTGCCCCGACCCCCCCCCCCCCGCGTCCCCAGCGCCCCAGCGGGGGCCCCGCCCACTGCCCCTCCGCCACGAACGTTTCTTCCGCGTCGCACACCCCCCCCTCTCCACCCCGCCCCCCCCCCCCCCGCGTCCCCACGCCAGAGTGGGACCCCCGCGCCGTGGCTCTCTGCCCCGAGCCCCCCCGCGTCCCCAGCCCCCAGCGGGAGCCCCGCCCACTGCCCCCTCCGCCAGAACGCCTTATTCCGCGTCGCACCCCCCCCCGCGTCCCCCGCGTGGGACCCCCGCGCCGTGGCTCTCTGCCCCGAGCCCCCCCGCGTCCCCAGCGCCCCAGCGGGAGCCCCGCCCACTGCCCCCTCCGCCACGAACGCTTTATTCCGCGCAGCGACGCACACCACCTCCCCCACCTCCCTCCCCGCGTCCCCACCGCCCCAGTGGGGGCTCCGCCCCGTGCAACCTCCGCCCCGACAAGTTTATTCCGCGTCGCGACGCATGCCACCTCCCCCCCCCACGGTTGGACCCCCGCCCAGTGGCCCTCTGCCCCAAGCCCCGCCCAATGCCCCCTCCGCCCCGACCATTTTATTCCGCGTCGCGACGCACACCACCTCCCCCCTATCCTCTCCGCGTCCCCAACGCCCCAATGGGACCTCCGCCACGTGCCCCTTCCGCCCCGACCAGTTTATTCCGCGTCGCGACGCACACCACCTCCCCGCCCCTGCCCACCTGGGATTCGAGCCCCGTCGCTGGGCCCCGAGGGGCGATGTCTTGCCCCCTCTCCCCCCCTCCACCTCCGACTCCTCCTCCTCCCCCTTCCCTTTTTGTGCAAGAGCCATGGCACACGTGCCACTTGTTTATTATGCATAAGGTTTCGTGCCCCTCCCACTCCTCCAGGGAGGCCCTGGCGCCAAACGACGTCGACACCATCCTCCTCGTCAACCATTGCCATCATCACCACTTCTCTCTTCCACGCCTTATTGTCCTTCCTTCCCGCCTTACCGGCATTCCTGCTCTTGCTCACCCGAACTGCCCATTCTGCACTGCTGAGATTAATGCTGCCGAGCGCGGCCTCCGTTGACCGCGTCTTACACATCCATCCTCTCCCCCACGTTGCTTCCCCTTCTCGCCTCCGTCGGCCCCTGTTTTTATGCCCTCGTGATTCCGCCAACCCCGTAACACCCTTATGTGGGGAACTTCGTTAGCATATTATTGATTTTGGAATTTGTCTTGACAGGTAGGAGGGGCCTCCCTGGATCCAGAATAAAGACAGAGTGGAGCAGACTGGAGTAGAGCAGGGTAGCTGTAGAGTAGATTCGGGTAGAATAGAACAGAGTGGAGTGGAGGAGAGTCCACTGGTCCAGTCCAGTCTACTCCGATCCGCTCGACCCTGATCTGCTCCACTTCAGTCATCTATCATATGTTTGGGCTCTGCGCCAGCTGACGTTGCCATCTTCGGCCTCTGGGGGCCCTCGCCGAGCCCCGAGACCCAGTGGAAGAGCGACTCGGGATGAAAAAACGATACAGGGGGGTGGGTCGAGATCTCCGGGGGTCCACATCGAGAAGAAGTTATCATGGCCCCCCCTGGTTTGGCCAGGGACGCGCGTGCACCGATCCTCCTCCTCCTCCTCCTCCTCCTCCTCCTCCTCCTCCTCCTCCTCCTCTCCCTTCCTCCTCCTCCTCCTCCTCCTCCTCCTCCTCCTCCTCCTCCTCCTCCTCCTCCTCCTCCTCCTCCTCCTCCTCCTCCCCTCCCTCTTCCTGCGACCACACCTAGGCGCAACATAAGTCTGTCACACCCATGCCTCTAGCCAGGCCCGTCCAACGGGCCTCAAACGAACCAGTCGAACCCCACGCCGGCGAGGTCCGCGATGTGCGAGGCGGGGGGGAAGGGGCAGGCGGCGCCCTCCCTCCACGGGAGGGCGCATCATCGCCGACACTTCCGCTGCCTCCCGCGCCCCGCGCCGCTGCCGGGGGCCGCGTCCACCGCCTCCACGAGCCAGGCTCGGAGTCGGTGGAGCGGCCAGGCGGTGTAGCGCGGCTGAAAGTCAGCCACGCGCGCCCCAGGCGTGCGGACCCACGCCGCGATGAGCGCGGCCCGCTCCGCCGACTCGCCCAGCACGGGCTCCACGCTGTCGGCGGCAGTGGCAGCCGAGGGTGGCACCACCAGCAGCGCCAAGGCCGACGCCTCGGGCGCCGCGTCGCCACCTGCCGCCGCCACAAAAGCAGCGGCAGCATCCGCCGAGGAGGCCGCTCCGCCAGCCGTCGACGCCGCAGCAGCGGCCGCACCAGCTGGCTCCGCGGACACGCCCAGCACGGGCTCCACGCTGTCGGCGGCAGCGGCAGCCGCGGGTGGCGCCACCAGCAGCGCCAAGGCCGA